CTGATAAGTAGCTGGGTTTGTTGAATTTGAGTCCTCTGTACAGAAGTTTGAACAGTGGTTCTGCCTTGAGTGTTATTCAACTGACCAATAGCAGAAACCCGGCAGTGTTCCTAAAACTACAATAAACGATCAGTGATTTAGTGAGTGCCATTCCTATTACCTTCAGGGCCATGTTATTGAAACATTACTACGACAAGATGTTCCAATGAATGCTTCGTGGCTGTCTTTTGGGAGGATAGCCTGAGGTGTCCCATCAAAAACAGTCCGTTCGGAGCTGTTTTTTATCCCTGAAGGTAGACTCAAAATGCCCATGAAAATTACGAAAGCCTGAAAACAGGGTTATTTCTTTATAGAAGGATGAAGGTAGCAAATTCATACTTCTGTGACATATTTTGCAACAATGATGTTGTCTGGTTTGTCTATGCCGTTTTTTTATACATCAAACCAATTGCGTAGCCGTAAAATGGTTTGGTAAATCACGTCAGGTATTTGTAACCTAACATCCGCCAGTGGACGAAATTTCATGGATCCAATGCAACGCGACGGTCGGATCGTGAACGCACTCCACTTTAGTATGGCTCAGTAGAAGGCGGAGGCTGAAAGCTCGGACATGTTTCATTTTGATTAATAGTTTAACGCTGTTAGCTCTTAGGCACATGTTCGCGAATTCGATGTTATGTGCAGAAAAACAGATCAATAGACCACCATCTGGCAACCCGAGAGCCACTTGGAATTTGCGGGACAATTTCTGTGGGTCGAAGGCAAGATGCGCTAGATGATTTAGCAGGCGTAGAAAGTGCAAGAAATATGTGCACCAGATACAGTAGGTATTTCGCTGCTCAAGAAATGCTAATCCACTTACAGTGGGTGCCCCTCTACAAAAGTCAGTTTAGTATAATACGAGGAAAGAAGAGTGAGACTGCTTGATATTCACGAGAACGCGAGTATTGCACCGTTACAGCCAATTTATTTTACAGCAAGGCCTTGATTTTTCAGCCCAGTATATCCACGCTACATCTCGCCTCGCACGGGGCTTGTAATATTTTAGAATATTTGTAGCCTGACGCGCTCGTTAATTAATTATCACGACAGTTGATCCACTCGCTAGTGTACATGTGGACGCTGTACACATGGTCGCGACAGAAACGTTTTCAAGCCAACTACCCGGCTCCGTGAGCAGATCAATAGCTACTTGGTCGATAACGAACAACACCAAGTGCATGCTGATTCAAATTTGTCGTTCTTTTATCCACTCCCTACTTTGGCTGTGAGTGCGAAGTATTACCACACATAAGCCTCAATGAGACTGTCATAAATAGTAATCTTATTGAATCACATACTGGTCAGCTTATTTGCTAACATAGTGATAAAAGTCGTTCCAGTTTAAAATTGCATTATATGACTCATGGATCACCACGCATTTGAAAAAATCATCCCACAGTAAAGTAAATGGAAATTATATATTTTAGCAAGCAAATAAGTCATGTATGAGAAGATACAATATTTAGCCAGAACATTTTGCTTTTCCATAATAGTACAGTTATGTAGTCAAATCCTTTGCAATTCGTTCCACCCAGTGTTTCCGGTGCCGTAGACTGTTATTACACCACAAAACGATGCCTCAATGCAAGGTCAAAGTTGTGTTACAGGCCTAGTGTTTTGGTCAGATTGCGTCTGAGGAGCAGTGCATGAAAAATTCAGTCACCGTGTGACGTGTCATCGTCACCTTTATAAATTTGAGCAGTAAATCAGTAGCAAAGTTCGCATTCCGTCAGCAGCAAACTAACGGTAAAGCCACAGTTCACTCAGCGACGTAAACTAAATGGGCCAAACAACCCAAGATTTGTATGTTTGGTACGCGGGAGCAAGTAAGTAAGGAGTTGCCTTGATGACAGACAAAATAAAGTTCATATATACTGAGTGGAAGTAGAGGAGTGAGCAGTTGGCAGTGCAGAACGTGGTGAGCGACAACAAAGAGGACAACTGATTGAAAATTTATAAATAACAAGCGGTTGACGAAAGAGTAGGAATCAGTAACGCAAGGACAAGTCAGCGAAAAAATGTTGACGATGAGACTTTACGATCGACGTTTTTGGGCGATTCGTCCAATTATTTTGGGTTTTCTCAATGCAGACACAAGCGTGCACCAGTGGCTAATTGATCTACTGATATATATGCACTTATCGCTATAACCCAACTGTTAGATTAGATTGAAGGAAGCGCGATATGGAACTCGTTCCCACTATGGTTTAGTAAAGATTACAGTTGGTTCCTTAATCACCAACAGCTTGGTGACGCGGGAAGTAAAGTAGGGCTTAAGGAATGTAGGGGTGGAGAGCCAAAATATAGTCTACTTTAAACAATACAAAACGTAAGTCGGAATTAGAGTACATAGTAGAACAAATACTACAGAATCCTTCAGATAATGAATCATTGGCTATGAAAATTTCAGGGTAGGTGTTGTCCAAGAAAAAGCCACCTGGGTCTTTCCTATCCTGTTTGACATATTCAGGGGTTTTTATCCACTGAACTTGATTGAATAATGGATCAGAAACGCCCCATTTCAACTCGATGGCTCGTAGTTCCCAAAGTGAAGCTACTTCCCACATTAAGCACTTTCGATACATCGCATTTCGCTGGGGCACCGCTTTGTAATACGATAATCTATGCACATTCAGATGTAACATAAGCGTCATATTGAACTGCAGCTCGTCCGCACTTGGTAACTGATTTCTTCACCAGCAGCAAACAGAGTAATGTATCTCTAGCAGATTTCCCGCCCAATAAGCTCGTGCATCTACAGACCCCGATGATCCATTCAAGTGTTCACAGAATTCCCATGGCAAGTCCACCCATCTGTTCAGTGCTGGTACGCTCAATTTCACTCATAAATGACAGAATAATCTAAAAAGGTAGAAATCCTCTTATCCAGCGGTGTACTGGTAAATACTGTGGGTACGCTCAAAACGTTCTTTTTCTATGTTAACATAATTGAGGTTCTACTGGGTGTCAGTGATTGGGAGCTTTGTGGTACCAGCAGATTTAACGGACTGATCCAAAGTTTTAATCCGGGTCACATTGCCAACTTGCGTTGCGACAAAGTATAAGAACCGCAAGCGCACGTCACTCAGAGAACAGGGGTCGTGCGATAGGTAGTGTGTACTCGCTTGGTGTATAACGCAAACCGAAGCAGTTGCCATCTGTAGCCTCAGACTAATTTTTTTCTAAGCAAAACACTGGCAGATTCTTCGTGCCTAAACTGCCGCGTTGTTCACCAAGGCGTTCTGTGTATCTCCACCCACTGCACGTCCATCCGACTCACTAGAGTGTAACCACCTTACTAACAGCGACGACTACTCACACTCTTACATCCCCGTTTGACAGGCACGTCATACCTAATTTGTTCTATCGTCTTGTGTACTGAACATACGTATTTTCAGAATGAATTTTAAATTCACTTGGTGTTTTCCCTTCATGTGAATCCACAGGAAGGTTTGCATATTTTCTTCTGCATGAGTGTGTGCCAAATTCTTACAAGTGCCTTAGGCGGTACATTTAAAATGCCATCGTCAGTGATATCATAAACACACACGGAATTTGACGTTTCTCAAGTTCATTCTGGGAACTCACAGTATGCAGCTGCGCGTGACTAGTAACTGCACAATAGTTAGAAATTTACTGTGCATAATAATCCAAACCTTAATGTCAGATTGAAGATGGAAATTCACCTGCATAGCTAGACATTGTGTTCACTATGTACAAGTGGCTCGATGTGGATCATCCAGGAAGCCCCAAGAAATGAGAGATGGAAGTGGTCACAACGGTACTGAGAATCCCTTCCGAAAACGACTGTATCATTTGGCGCTGTACCTGTTGGATATTAAGAAGATTCACAGGTTCTGAGACAATAATCCTCAGTTCAGAGGATCCTACACACTTTCTATTGCTGGCCACTTGAACCATAAGACGATAGTTTGATTGCGCCCTCACTTCCAAGCATACTAACCCTATGCCTGCTATACAAGTGGATAAAACCAAAATTTGCAATGAACGACCTAGCCAGTAACGCCACTTGGTTCGGTCTTTTTTCTGTATCTAAAACCATGTCGTTCGCAAAAGCAACTCACATCGCTGTTCTTATTTCAAACTGATCGCTTATCTCAAATCTTTGTCAGCTGAACATCTGTGTAACCAGTGTAGACAACCTGTAAATCCTTCAGTACAGGACCGAGGACATTTTAGCCAGAGATCCAACAGAA